CTCTCTGTCTGTCTATCTGTCTGTCTGTCTCTCTCTCTGTCTGTCTATCTGTCTGTCTGTCTGTCTGTCTGTCTGTCTCTCTCTGTCTGTCTGTCTGTCTCTCTCTGTCTGTCTGTCTGTTTCTCTGTCTGTCTGTCTGTCTCTGTCTGTCTGTTTCTCTCTCTGTCTGTCTTTGTCTGTCTGTCTCTGTCTATCTGTCTGTCTCTCTCTCTCTCTCTCTCTGTCTGTCTGTCTGTCTGTCTTCTTGTTTGTTTGTTTCTGGCTTTCTCTGTCACTTCTGTCCCCACTATTTGCATGTCTGCCCTCACCTATACCTAGGGCAGGGCAGTAGGGGGCGTAGTGATTAAAGAGCTGCACCTGGAAATGTCAGCTTGCGTATCTGTATGCTTAAGGAAAGTGTTACATTTAAGTAAAAACAGAGTTTGTATTCTTTTTGATGCTCTGAACATTAATTTGTTTTACAGCTGAATATTTTCTGTTTTGGGTAAAATATTTAACTAATCTTACAATTTTTGTGTTTAATATTTTACAGCTTGAAACACTATCATGAAAATTGCCAATTCTTCTCAGATCTGGCTGATTTGTTTTCTGATTGGTTGACTGGCTGGTCGTTCGTTTCACCGTTCGTGTCATCTGATTGGCCGGTCGGTTAACTGATGGCCAGCTGTCTCCACTCAGGTGATCGTGGACTCCATGGTGTCCCTGTGCCGTGAGTTGTGCCCGTTGTCCTCCGGGGCTGCCGAGCGCCTGACCCCGCCCCTGTCCTCCGTCGCCGAGCGAGTGTCAGTTCCCCGCTCCGCCATCCGCAGCGCCCTGATGGAGAGAGCGGCGCTGGACATCCACCGAGCGATGGAGTGAGAGAGCCAGGGAGTGGGGGGCAGGTGGACAGCACAGAGTGGAAGGGATGAAGCAAAAGAGGGTGGGAAAAGAATGAGAGATTGATGACAGGGAGGAAAATAATAAGAGCATAATGATGGAGAGGAAAGTGAATGATGGATGAGGTAGAATTAGTGGAGGATGGGTGTGCCAGAGCTCTCTCCCTCTCTCTCTATTTCTTCCTCTCTTTCTTTCAGGGAGGTGAAGCTGTCTGTGGTCTCCTACCTAACAAACTCCATAGTAGATCAGATTCTTCAAGACCTGTACGCCACACACAAGACCTTGGTATGGCCCTTGTACTGTTTACAGTGCCCGTCCTGGATGTGACTGTATTCATTTCAGGCTCCCCGACACACAGACTGCAAAGAGGAACAGCGGCCGCCCTGGATGTGACTGTATTCATTTCAGGCTCCCCGACACACAGACTGCAAAGAGGAACAGCGGCCGCCCTGGATGTGACTGTATTCATTTCAGGCTCCCCGACACACAGACTGCAAAGAGGAACAGCGGCCGCCCTGGATGTGACTGTATTCATTTCAGGCTCCCCGACACACAGACTGCAAAGAGGAACAGCGGCCGCCTGTACTGCTCTGCCTTCGATCTGTCTATCCTGTCTGCGTGCGGCTCAGAGCCTCTGCATTTTGTCCGCTTTGATAATTTAAAAATGCCTTTATTGCAGCTAGTTATGCTATCGGCAAAACAGGATTCATTATTTAAATAGCAGATAAATTAAAGTAATTACTAAAGAAGACAGTCACACAAAACCCCAAAATGCTGACAGTGGTTTGGAAGCACTCGACGTTCCCTCTGAGTGCCATTCGTCCGGCGCCGTGTGTCTGTCCGCTTGCGCGTTTGTTGCAGGGTTATGCTGATTCCTTTCTGTCACTCGCAGAGCCACCAAGTGGCTCAGGTGAGGAACTGCGATGAAGATGGGGAGCCAGGAGTGGGCCGGTGCCCCCACAAACACCGTGACTCCTTAGACATCACCGACGAGGACCTGGGACCCAGCATAGTGAGTGTGTGTGTGGTTGGGGGGGGTACGTCAGGGTGGGACTGCCCTTTCACGACCGCATGGTGACACTCATTGTTGTTGACACAGAGTCCTAATTAAAATTTAAATAGGCTATATGACCTTGGCAAAGGTAACATATTAAAAGGCTTGTACTGGCTTGTAGTGGCATATTGTAATAACTACAGAGCAAACATGGCCGTGCATAATCATCCACCTTCTGTCCAGTGTTGAACCTCACGGTCGGAAACGTGTCTCTCTGATGCTGCAGGACACACTAGCGATCAAGAAGAGGAGCGGCAGGACCAGGCGGATCCGTCCCGTGTCCACCAGGCTCAGTGAGCGCATCCCCGTCAACCCCTCAAACTCAAAGCCACTTGTCTCTCGTTGGCACGGCAACAGGAGCACCAGAACAATGCATCTCGTATTAGACTCTGTCACCGATTGGGTAACTTAGTGTGAGATCACAGCGAGCCTGAGAGCACAGGGTGCCCCGAAGAACCACCGCAGAATATATCCCCCCCATCCACCCCTTGGGGGGGGACATATAGAGGGACAGTTCATTGGAGGCAGGGGCATGAATCCCCTGACAGATTCAGGGACCCCAGCACTTTATAGGGGCCCCTGAAGACGAAGGTGGTAAATAATACCTTCTGTCTGTATTTCTGTATTAATGGGACCTGTGTTTCGTCTGATTAGCAAGGGGCCTGAGGTGACATTTTGTCACATCTTCTGCCTACGCCCCCGTTTGGAGGAAACTCGGAAACATCAGGACATGCAAACCTCACTTGCGCTGGGCATGGGGTTCGAATACTTGACTAGGATAATATAGATATTAAATACACACAATTTTACAAAATACTGTCCCGCTAGTAGTTGGTTAATATCAAACGCATGAAATGTTTGTCCACCATTTCAGATATATCATTTTCTTTGTGTTTTATGAAATCGTAAATTGCAGCATCAAATCAACACGCAAAAGCGAGCCTTTGAATCTTGAGACAACATGAATGTATGATTCATGACAGGAGATTAAACGGCACTCGGCCCATGTTAGTGCTGAATCATGGAGACCCTGTAGTCAGCTTGGGGGGGTCACACCTGGGGCCTGTATCATGAGAATCACATGAGGAACTGCCCAACCCCCCCATGTCCATTTATTCCCTAACAAGCCAACAGATTCGATTCGGTTCAGCTGAGCCTGATTATCTGATCTGTTCTCCAAACCCTAACCCTTGTTTTTTTTTTTTTTACTGTTTTTTTCCTCTCTTTTTTTTGCTGTTTTCCCACTATTCATATCAAATATTGATGCAAATAAATATTGATAGAATTGATTAAACAGAGTGTCACCATTTTATCACCTTTTCTCCCTCATTAAATTTGACTTCAGCTCAAACTGGGCATTACCTGACTATTAACTGTTATGTTCTAATAATAAATCAATAAGACTAAGAGTTAGTGTTAGACGTTAGATGTCATATTAACAAATGGCATGTACAGTATAAATGCTAGAATATAATCAGATCCACTCATTTTCCATACCCACTTACAGCACAGGGTCACAGTGACCCTGGAATATTTCCAGTCCCTGCAAAGGCAGCATATGAGGCAGGGGACACCTTGGACAGGCAGGGGACACCTTGGACAGGCAGGGGACACCTTTGACAGGCAGGGGACACCTTGGGCAGATAGGGGACAGGATGCCAATCCTTCGCAATGAGTACAAACTCATATGTAAAACACAGGAACCACCTGCATATAAGAGTGGGAGTGAGATTCCAGCCCTATATCAGGAACTGAGAGGCTATGTTGCTAAGGACTTGGCCACTGTGCCACCTAATGGTGATGTTTCTGCCCCGTACCCTCTTCTCTCTGTCCCAGGTCTCTGCGATGATTCCAGTTCCTCAACCCCACCCTCTGCACCGCCCCTATCATCTCCTCTATCCAGCTCAGCATCATGGGAATGCCTTGCTACTTTGCCTACCCAGGGTGCACCGCTACATCATGTGACCCGAGTCAGGCCAAGGCCACCACGGAGACACCGGGGAGGACACGGCCCCTTGTACTCGGTGAGGAGGTGCAGATATTACAGTAAAATCTCAGGAAGGTGGGCAGACAGACAGCAGACATAGTTTGGAAATGCACATTATTCAGATCTGAAATGAGCCATTTCATCGGAAGAGTATTCTCCACATTGATGGCCTTTTAGCTTCCTGGAAGTCCTACCCCCTCAGCCTGGAAGTCCTACCCCCTCGGCCTGGAAGTCCTACTCCCTCTCTAATTCCAAAGATCCCTCACCGATTCTGCCCAGAAACAACATTTTTAAGCTAATAACTCGTGCATAATTCAGACGGTGAATCTGACCAGAGGTTCGGCCGCAAGACGCATCAGGCCCCCCCTCACCCTTGCTTTATAAATTGAGCCTGGAGCACTTCCAGACAGGTCCTGAAGAAGCCAATTAGACCAGAAAGGATGACTAATCGCTTGGATGCGTGTAAACAGCGAATTGCGCTGATTTGAAAGGCAGGGCGTTCCCAGGGGCGTAGGCTTAGATCATGCACTGATCCTTATCAGTCTGAAGGTCCACACGCCACGCCATACCCCAGCTGGCTCTGCAATCCAACACATCCTGTTCCATGTCGACAATGCTGGGCCTGCTAGCTCTGGTTCTGTCTCCACTTAGTGTGTCTCACTAAATCTCTATCTCCTTGGCACATCCTCCGGGTGGAAAAAAGATGGTAAGACAAAAAATAGCCAAACAGGAAATTAATTACACAATCGCACCCCCCATTATCACTTATCAGTCTTTGAAGACTTAAAACAACTGAGATATGGAGATTGTGCCATTATGCGAAGGATGACTTTGCTTCTGTTGTTACTTGGGCTCTTGTTCTCCAGCACTGTACGGAGAATGGTGTGGCCACGCCCCTCGACGACGGACTCCCGGATTTTTACACCAAAAGAGTGTTGCCAGACAGGTACAGGGTAGAGATGGGGCACAAACACACACACACAGACATACACACATGCACACACGCACACGCGCACACACTCACGCACACACACACACGCACACACATACACACACGCACACACGTACGCGCACACACACACGCACGCGCACACACAAACGCACGTGCACACACACACACATGCGCACACGCACGCACACACACACACACACAATTTCTATGGGCATAACTGTAATCCAAAATATGACGACCTTGATCCTTACCCAGTCCCACGTGTAACCAAAAGTAACCAAACAAAATACCAAATACTTTTGGCACTTTCAGTTTTTTGATTGCAGCCACAGATTTTTATAAAATTGAGGTTATCTTTGTGGGGACTGAAAAAATGTCCCCACAAGGTAAAAAGTTACAGGTTTTTATCACATTGTTGGGAAATCTGGTCCTCACAATGTATTTATTGCAGAAACACAGACACACAGACACACACACTGGATTGCTCACAATCACAGCCAGGAAGGCACATGTTCCTACTCTAACTGAATGTGCTTGGCTGCATGTTACGCATCTTGTATCACGTTGAAATGTTTTACGGGCACAGGTGTTGTTGAGCTTATTGGCTGTGTAGTAAAAGCTCCCCTCTCTCTGTCGGCACTGGGTGACAGAAGGTGTAGCCTAGCAACGGCTCTGTGTTAGCCCTGCTGTTGGCCATGGTGGTGGGGGCACAGGGGCAGAAGCACATGGTGGGTTTAGGGAGGGGATCTGTTGTTATGATTCACTGGCTTGGCTGAATGGTGGCTTCTTGAGCTTGTGCTGGAAAATCGATGTTGTACCAAATGCTTGTCTTTAACCTCCCTCCTCCCCCATCTCTCACAGTCAACTGTCATCAATTCACAAGGCCCAATCCCTAAGGAGAAAGAAGCGGCGGAACATGCTGGCCATCTTCAACTTCCGCAGGCACCGCCACTCTGCACTGGCCAATCAGAGCACAGATTTGAGTGTATGGGGCGGAGCTTGTGGGGACGAGTGTCGGACAGTGGCCACAGCGCCCACTGGGTAAGAAACTAAGATGTAATTCTATGACGTGAGAACTGTACTTGCCTAATATGCAAAATTCATCTGTTTTTATTAATATGCTGTGAAAACTACATCTCATTACCTATGATTTACCTCATTATCTATTGAGTAAATGAACAACACCTGAATCTACATGTTCAGTACATGTTTTGGACCAGTAAAACATCAAACTTGACTTAAAGACAAATGTATTTGAGATAATGCAGCTATGTGGGTGGATTAGAACTACAGACTCAAGCATCTGAGGTTGCTTGGAAACGCCTTCCATGCCTTTCCTGTCAGCATCGCCACGGAAAACGTGTACACGCTGCTTCAGCCTCCGAGGCAGCCTGAGCTGGTCGGCGAGGGTACTGACGTGAAGCTGGGAATCCAGAGGGGGGAGGATCCGTGTGGCTCCACAGAGGGAAGCCGACCTCTGTTCCTATCCTTCAAACCGGTAGGACATTATCCCAAGCATGTGCTAGAGCCACAATGTTTTAAAAAAAAAATGGACAATTTCTCAGTCTTTATGAGTAAATATTTTGCTTTGCATCTGTTTATTCAGGGCTTTAGAGCCCAGGCACCCTTATGTTGAATCGCAATTGTTAAGCCAAGATGGATTTTATATCCTTAGGGCACAGACTCTGCTTGAGAAATACAAATAAAATGTTGAGGGGAATGATACAGTTGATAATGAACGTTGTTATGCTCCATTAAGTATGTCAATTTTTATACACTATCTTCTGTATCCATTTTTATACTCAAGTAGGGACTCGTTCTTGTGAATAAATGTGCTTTTCTCTTTCAGCGGTCTGAATCAGGCCAGGAAAATGAGAGGCCAACACAGAGAAAGGCAGAGCCAGAATCAGTGACAGAAAGGCAGTCAGTGGCCGACAAACAGACACTTAAACACGCAGAAGTGGATCAAGCAACGGACAAGCAGAGAACAACACACAGAAGGTCGCATAAGTGGACGAGGAAAGATACAATGTCAGACAGACATTTAGGAACAGAGAGACAGTCATTTGAACAAGCAGAGGTGGACCCGGTGAAGGATGAGCAGCTTAAGACGGACAGACGGACACCTAGAGAGGGGACATCAGATCTAACAATGGAGAAGCAGCAGGGCACAGAGAAGCAGCTACAGGGCGTGGAAGTGGTGGACAAAATAAGAGACACACAGACAGGTCGGGAGACACAGGCACGGGTGGAACCATCAACAGACAAAGAAACAGGGGCTGAGAGACAGAGACAGACGCAGAGACAGCCAGGCATGGGACCTACAGTGGACCGGCAGCCAGGCACAAAGACACAAAGACAAATAGAGGTCATCTTAACAATGGAGAGACGGCCAGGAATGGGGAGACAGTCACATAAGCAGGAAAGTTCAGACATGCAGACAGAAGCAGACAGACAGATACATCATGGACAATCAGGAGCTGATGGTAGAATGGAGAGACAGCTGGGAATAAATACACTGAGAGATTGGGAGGGACTGGCAGAGAAGCCAGCAGACAGGCTAACATCCCACCGGGTGGAAAAACACTTGGTGTCCATGATGACAGACACACTAGACAGACATAAGGACATACAGAAAGGGGTACACATGCAGACAGACAGACAAAGCATGACAGACATACAGATGTATATGCAGACAGATGCAGAAAGACAGGCAGACAGGCAGACGGTTTCTATGGCACAGGTGAACAGGGTGACACTTTCTCTTACTCATTCAGGCAAACCCAAAGCCCCAGAGGCATTAGGGTGGACAGGGGCAGAAGGACAGGCAGACAGGCAGATGGTTCCAGAAAGGGAGACAGCCAGGCAGATGGTGCCAGAAAAACAGACTGACAGCCATGCAGTGCCTGAAAGACAGATGGACAGGGAAGCAGTGCCAGAAAGACAAACAGACAGACAGACAATGTCAGAAAGGCAGAGAGACAGGCAGACGGTGCCAGAAAGACAAACAGACAGACAGACAATGTCAGAAAGGCAGAGAGACAGGCAGACGGTGCCAGAAAGGCAGAGAGACAGACAGACGGTGCCAGAAAGGCAGAGAGATAGACAGACGGTGCCAGGGCAGACAGACAGACAGACAGTGTCAGAAAGGCAGACAGAAAGGCAGACAGTGCCAGAAAGGCAAATAGACAGGCAGACAGTGTCAGAAAGACAAACAGAGAGACAGACAATGTCAGAAAGGCACATGGACAGGCAGACAGTGCCAGATAAACAAGCAGACAGGCAGACAATGTCAGAAAGGCAGACGGACAGGCAGACAGTGCCAGATAAACAAGCAGACAGGCAGACAATGTCAGAAAGGCAGATGGATAGGCAGATGGTGTCAGAAAGACAAACAGAGAGACAGACAATGTCAGAAAGGCAGATGGACAGGCAGACAGTGCCAGATAGACAAGCAGATAGGCAGACCATGTCAGAAAGGCAGATGGACAGGCAGACAGTGCCAGATAGACAAGCAGACAGGCAGATGTTGCCAGAAAGGCAAATGGACCGGCAGACACACCGGCAGACAATGCCAGAAAGGCAGACTGACAGGCAAACAGTGTCAGAAAGACAGACAGACAGGCAGACAATTTCAGAAAGACAGATGGACAGGCAGATGGTGCCAGAAAGACAGATGGACAGGCAGACTGTATCAGAAAGACAGACAGACAGGCAGACAGATTTGATCAGACATGCAGAGAGACACACATCGTCAAACATACATACATACAGACGGACCATGTCGGAAAGACAGACAGATGCGCAGATAGGTTTGGTTATGCAAACAGACAGACAAGTTGCATCAGACACTCATATGCACAGAAGGACCCTCTCAGAAAGATATACTGATGGGCGGATAGGGTTTGTCACACAGACAGATAGACAGGCTGCATCAGACAGACATACACACAGACAGACCTTATCAGAAAGACAGACAGACACACAAATTGCTTTGCTTAAGCAGACAGACAGACAGGCTGCATCAGATGCTCATACATACAGACAGACCCTGCCAGACAAACAAACAGATGGGCAGATGGGTGTGATTACACAGACAGACATACCGGTTGCATTAGATACACTTTCTCATAGACGTACCATGGGAGGCAGACAGACAGATGGCCAGATGGGTTTGGTTATGCAGGCAGACAGACAGGCTGCCTCAGACTCAAATACACACAGACGAACCCTGTCAGACAGACAGATAGATGGGAAGATGGGTTTGATTGTGCAGACAGATAGACAGGCTGCATCAGACTCACATACACACAGACGGACACTATCAGAGAGACAGACAGATGGACAGATTGGTTTGGTTATGCAGACAGACAGACAAGCTGCGTCAGACTCATATACACACAGACGCACACTGTCAGAAAGGCAGACAGATGGGCAGATGGGTTTTGTTACACAGACAGACAGACAGGCTGCATTAGATGCACATACATACAGACAAACCCTATCAGAAAGACAGACAGATGGGCAGATGGGTTTGGTTATGCAGACAGACAGACAGGCTGCATCAGACTCATATACACGCAGACGAACCCTGTCAGAGAGACAGGCAGATGGGCAGTTGAGTTTGGTTATGCAGACAGACAGACAGGCTGCATCAGACTCATATACACACAGACGGACCCTATCAGAAAGGCAGACAGATGGGCAGATGGGTTTTGTTACACAGACAGACAGACAGGCTGCATTAGATACACATACATATAGGCAGACCCTATCAGAAAGACAGACAGATGGGCAGATGAGTTTGGTTATGCAGACAGACAGACAGGCTGTGTCAGACTCATATGCACACAGACGGACCCTGTCAGAGAGACAGACAGATGGGCAGATGAGTTTGGTTATGCAGACAGACAGACAGGCTGTGTCAGACTCATATGCACACAGACGGACCCTGTCAGACAGACAGACAGATGTGCAGATGGGTTTTGTGATGCAGACAGACAGACAGGCTGCAGCAGACAGACGTACATACAGACGGACCCTGTCAGAAAGGCAAACGGATGCACAAATGGGTTTGGTTATGCAGACAGACAGACAGGCAGCATCAGATAGACATACATACCGACAAACACTGTCAGAAAGGCAGATTGATGCACAGATGGGTTTGCTGATGCAGACAGACAGACAGGTTGCATCAGACACACACACATACAGACGGACCCAACCAGAAAGACAGACAGATGCGCAGGTAGGTTTATTTAAGCAGGCAGACAGACAGGCTGCATCAGATACATATACGTACAGACGGACCCCATCAGACAGACAGACAGATGCCCAGATGGGTGTAGTCATATGGGCAGACAGCCAGGCACCATTGGACACTCAGCTGCAAAGAAGGGCAGTTTCAGAAAGACATGCAGATAGACAGATGGTGTTGGTAACGCCAGCAGACCAGCAAGCTACCCAGGACCTGCAGATGAGTAAGCAGACACCTGCATTCACCCAGATGGAAAGACAAGCAAATTTCCATCCTTTGGGAGAAAGGAGGAAGACTGGAGAAAGTCTGGAGGGACCAGTCCCATATGGGGTAAAACCAGACCCCCCTCCTCAGAGCAGCAAGCCCAGCCTGGCAAAACTGAGACAGCGCCGTCTACAGGAAAGCCCCGGTACTGCAACCTGTTAGTGAGAGTGCCAAGCAATACACAAATTTGTTAGGAAGTCGGTTGTTCAAGTTTTATGATGTCTTTTCACAATATGGAAGTAGATTTTTACTACTAAAAATACCACATTAGTGTGGGAGTCCTTTACATTAGGGGGTGCTTTTATAGCAGTTTAAGGTCTCGAATGGTGAGATATTTTAGGTGAGAGAATAAACGAGCGGGACAGCCTGATGCGAGTGAGATAATATCAAGCGGGGGCCTGTTTCCAGCCAGGTCATGAGTGGAATGGCAAGGAGAGTTTAGCAGAAGAAAAGATGCTTGTTATCTCAGTTATCAAAGAAGCAGAGACAGCATAACCAGGTGCTTAACAGGGAACACAAACACCTTTGATTTCTGAACCCGGACCCTTGGAAGAGAAGGTACTAAAATATTATGGTGCTTAGAAAAGGGTGTCTTTAAGACCAAAAAAAGGAGGGAAAATGGAAAAACAGTCCTTCTGGTATGCGACATCTCTGAGCAGCATGTGCAACAGAGTTATCAAAGTGTGGGGGTGGCAGGGGGGGGGTAGCATGGAGAGAAAGTGAAAAAAAGTCAAAATAATGGTTGGATGGAATCAAAGCGAATGAGGAAAGATCACAGTGAGAAGCTCAGAAGAAGCAGCTGTGGGAACCTGAAGAGGACTGGTGAGCATGAATAGGATCTGTGTGAGGATCACGCGCATCCTGAGAACAGGCAGCGTCTTGTTTGCACTAAGCATCTGAAAGCCATTCCGCATCGACTTTGAATTATTGGCACATCGTGCACCTTCACATTCAAAACTAAATAAAAATGGCTGCTTAGTCATTCAAGATTCAAGAAAGTTTTTTACGTTATGAAGTCACAGACATTCCTCATAGACAGTGGTGTAGGAACTGGCGGGACATATCCCCCCCCCCCTGCCCTATTTAATTTGTCTTCGTTCATCACACCCCAAAAAATAGACCTTTGCATAAAATTACTAAGCTGCATCCTCCACAGTTTTCAAACTCTCTCCTACTTTGTTGCTCATACGTAACACAACGGTAACCAACACAATAAGTAGTCATAAAAAAACAACCAATAAAAATCCCAAAACACGCAGTAATACTAATTTTGAACCTGAAATTTGAGGGAATAAATTACTTTTTATATGTATCCTTCCTGGCTAGAGGAGCTTTTTAATGGTAGCTGTTGAATAATTGGTGAAGGGGATTAGTTGGGTCCTGTGGTATAAGGGTCAATTCTTGATAGACAGACTGAGAGTAAAACTGAGGCAATGAAAACTGAGCTGATGCTGTTATCTTACTGTTCTGATTAATAAGCTTTGATTTGAGTTTAACAGTAAGAGTTATCCGAGTTATACTACAATGTGATATTAAAGGTGAGAATAGTTTCAAAAAGTGATCTATATAGCAAAGTTGAAACCCGCAGTCTGAATGATTTTCCAGTATACCCCTCCGACTTTCAGGTGTTGAAGAGGAGGCCAACGTGAACGGTGAGAGGGAAGAGCAACGAAAAGACATAAGAGGCAAAGACGAGGATGCCGACAAGGGAAGGACAGGGGTACGGCCTTCTCCTGTCCCCGAAAAGGTGCGTGTGCGTGTCCTGGTGCCCTTTGTATGCCTTATTTACTCCTGTGCATCTGAAATGACGAACACGAGTGTATGTTTGTCTTGGTGCGTGTCGTTAGTTCTCGTGAAATGTTGTGTTAGTATCAATGTGCTCTCCGGGTTCATTTCCTCCGCACACAGCCAGTCACGCCCACTGCAACTGAGATGGCCAATGAGAGAAAGGTCCCGCACTCCTCTACCAAGCTTGGCCCTGACGTGTCGATCCCCCAAGGTAGCTTGTTCAGATCTACAGCCAGTGTTAATAACACTGGTTCATTGACTGTTTAAAGAGGGTTTCTGTGAAAAATTTTATAAGGATGAGTCCTCAGGGTTTTAAATATATCATAGTCATTAGTGAAAAGTTCGGATTTTGGCTTTCTCTTCAGAAGTGGCTTTCTGAACAGAAGATGCTGAAGATTGAGATGTTTACAGCAGGAAATGTTATGGTCACGTCCCACGTTTTGTTGGTATGGCTGCTGAGAGGTGTTGGTTTGTGGTGCGCGTGGCGGTTGGATGAAGATCACGCTGAAGACCATATTTATCATAATGATGAAGAAGTTGATGACAATAATTATGTTGACGATGGTGATTGGAGTAAAAAAAAAAGACACCAAATTGAGAATGACGGATATGATGATAATGGTGAGTGATGGACGTGATGCATTCTGTGGTTAACAGGGGAGACATTCATTAGACCTGCAGCACCTGTAAAGCCACAGAGGAACAGGAAATTACTTTCCATTGACACAGGTATGCCTCAGAAGAATTTGCCACATATGTCCTGCATGGCAGCCTAGAACTTTCTAGAATCATACATGTGGCGCACACGCTTTGCACTTGCAGCTTTATGCATCCTTGTTTTGACCTCACTGGGTCCTCATCTGTCTGTCCCCCCCGCTGATGGTGTGTGTGCTCCTGTGCCACTGCTGACCTTTCCCTTCAGGCACTGACCGGGACAGCCCCGGTAATGCAGAGAGGCCCCCGAACCGCAAACCCCCTGTGAAAAAACCCAGGCTCCCCCAGAACAGGGCCAAATCGCAGGAGCTCCTTGGTACTGTGTCTGTGTGCCATGTGTACGCTTGTTTACATTTGTTCGTTCGCACATTCCAGACGTCTGTGGCAGGCTTTGCCGTCTTTAAGGTTTGCCATCTTGAGAGTGTCTGGTTCAGGTTCCCGGAGGTGTCTCGCCACTGCCCCTTTGGGATACTGACTCTGAATTTCTCCAGGAAAACATCCGACTGTGTAAATGGTGATGACCGTAAAAGTCAGTTTAGCAGTAGGATCATCTGGGCACCACAATCATTCTGATCCAAGACTGAACTGACATTCTGGCATTTTCCTGGGAATACGTGGTTTCCATACCTGACCGCTGGTTTTTCTTACACAAAAAGAAATGCACCTTGCATCTGTGAGCTAAACCTGTACTTTGCATGGTTTCAATGTTACAGCCCCTAGCACAGTCTAAACGCAGCTTACAGAACATGGATATTTTAGCTTGAAAGGCTGATGGGGCACAGGCAGCGGTGAGGACACAGCTCTCTTCAGACCAACATTGATGATATCATTTTTTTTCTCGCTATAGGCTATGAAAACGCAGTGCCTGGAAGCAGTGCCCCAAAATGAACCGTGGAGCTCACCTGGTGCTGCAGGGGGACAGTGTTGCCAAGACAACTCTGGGATGCTCTGCTCAGTGTGGACAAAGGCGTTAATAGGAGAGGCGGATGGTGTAATGGAAACGAGAGCTGTTCAGTGTGGATGCGACGAACACCGTTTTGTGAACTGCTGGATAGTAAATCCACAAACACGTATATCCACCCGCCAACACACTACACCCCAGCCTACAAAGTAGTTACTCCACTCACCACGCCCCCAAATGCGTTGTTTTTAACGTTTTTCTCTATAGGGACTCACAAAACCGCAAACTGTGTACGCCGCTGTTCATTTTCTTTCGCTAGTTGCTGAGGCTTCAATCATTATTATGATTCAGATTATTATTATGATGATGATTATTATTATTATTACTATTTGTTGTTGCTGTTGCTTTTTTGTATGATTATGGCAAAATGACCATCATACTTTAATCTGTGTTTTAACCGTTAGCTTTATATGGTTGTGGATACTTGTTAAATGAAATCAAAAGCTATTTATACCCCTTTCTGCTGCCCTTCACTGAAATGTGATATATTTTATAAGAAAAATCCTCTAAGAATATATTAATTAATAAAGAAATATGCTGAGAGAACTAAATGAGTCTTTTTTCCTTTTATCAGGCTTGTTTATGAGTTTTTATCGTCACCTTGCTTTTTACTGAATTGATAAATAAAAAAAATGCAAAGGACCTGTAGACAGTTCATGATGTTGAACAGCAGGGGGAGCCTGTGGACAGTGAATAATGTTGAACAGCAGGGGGAGCCTGTGGACAGTGAATAATGTTGAACAGCAGGGGGAGCCTGTGGTCATCGCATCGGAAATCCACTAAAACAATAAAAGAGACCTCAGGAGAAACAGAATGACAAAATTCTGCATGCTTGATCCTACTGTTGAATGCTTAGATTTCATGATGCATCATCGCGACAACTGATGCTTAAAGAGTTTTACGGGTCACATTACATTTTGAGCATATGATTTTTGCATGAGCCTATAGGTTTTAACTACATTTCATCTACGTTCAAGAAAATAAAGTTCTGTAGGACTTCTCGTCACATTTTAACCAGTTCATTGCCATTTTCAGTACTGATTGACCCTGGCATTTGGTTCCATTAATGGCAGTAGAAAAGTAGGCCAACCCGTAAGTCCCCCCCCCCCCCCCCCCCTCTGTACAGGTATCCCTGGGCTCACGGCTGGTGGGCGGGCGCATCACGACACCACTGCGATCCTGCGGCCCGTCTCCCGTTACTAAGCAACATCCGCTCGGATTACAAAGGTAGAGACGGAGGGGGGCATGGATGGCGGGAGCAGGATATCAGTGGCTGGAGAATGAAACCCAGGATGAGCATGACCTGGAGGGCAGCAGCTCCCATGCCTGAGACTTACCTGGAAGATCATGTAGAGTAACAGTGGCTGTTCACACAGCAGCAAAGCTTTGATGCGCTCTGAGTATCTACAGTACGTGTAAGTCTGACCATTCCTGTGTCCTTAGGGTGTTTCAGGGACATGTAAGAGTAGGACTCTTGTTAGCTGGAAATCCTATCTGACATACTCCTGTGGGAAGGGCGGCCATCTGTATGAACTAACCAGCCAGTGTTTGCCTGTCTGCCTTTAAGGTCCCGGGGGAAGAGGTCTGTGTGTGTGTGTGTGTGTGTGTGTGTCTGTGTGTGCATGTTTGACAGCAAACGCTGCTTCCACAGCCTCTCAAGGGGCCACTGAGGGCATCATACTTACATAGCGTCTGTGTATGTGAACTGATGCATCCAGGTGTGTGCCAGAAATTCATGCACATCTGCACACTTGCACAGAGGGGCACCGCCTCTCAATACACAAACCACAAAATACCAGTGTCAATTATGTGTAATGGATTCAAAGGATTCAAAGGCTTTACTCTCATTAGTAAAATTACAATGAAAAACGTGTTTCCATATCTCACTTAGACGTAAACACATACTGTATAACAAAGACCAACAAATAGCAAAAAAAAGGAATAGCAGTCAGTAACATAAATAGAATATATACAATTTATAAACAATACATGATATACAGAAAATAGGCAACAACACGATGCTGAGGTTAACGATGTTTCTAATGTTGTTACCTGCTTATACACGCAGAGAGTGTGGGTCAGTGTCAGCACTAATGTGCATGAGCTTAGTCATACCAGGATATATTTGGGTATGTACAGTATTGGAGTATATCTGCAGTGTGTTAACCGTCCAGCTTAAACGTGGTTTATGAGTACAGTGGATAATATGAATACGAATCCTGTGCTCTATATATAGAGTAGAATATGTTTATTATTAGCGTACAAACTCTGAGCGCTTTTCTCCAGCAGTGCTACATATAATAAAATAAATAAAATGTTTTAAATGATAATAATATACACAATAGGGATATACAGCATAAAACTGAAATGCTGAATAGACTGATTCAGGCCATCAGGATGTTCGGGAATTTTCCGTATGGGCCAGTATTGCATGGGCCAGCAAGCCCGCATGACCAAGGCACCAGACTTCATGTTCCTTACTGGTTGGCCGATGCAGGGTCGTTGGGGTCTGGAGCCTGTTCCAGAAACAATGGGCACAAGGTGGGGAATTACCCAAGCCGAGGAGCCAGCCCATCACAGGGCACACGCACCCTTCATGCGCACCCCTCACTCACACCCCTCACGTGCACCCCTCACTCACACCCCTCACCCGCACCCTTCACGCGCACCCTTCACGCACACCCTTCACGCGCACCCTTCATGCGCACCCTTCACACGCACCCTTCACTCACACCCCTCACTCGCACCCCTCACGCGCACCCTTCACGCGCACCCTTCACGTGCACCCTTCACACACACCCTTCACGCGCACCCTTCACGCACACCCTTCACGCGCACCCTTCACTCACACCCTTCACACACACCCTTCACGCGCACCCTTCACACGCACCATTTAACACGCACCCTTCACACACACTCTTCACACACACACATTCAGCCACTGCAGGGAAACAAACAGGGAAATCAGGAGGGGGACAGGTCCACATATGGGGCTTCCATCTCCAGGCATGTAGCTCCATCTCTCGAGGACCAGGAGACAAACAGAAGAGGAACTCGCTACTCCTGGATGAACGGCCCATCACCGGACCCCCACCCCCCACTACTGAAGCACCTTTGTCTGCATTCTAAAAAACCAGTTCAATACGCAGTAGGTACAGGCCCGGACTGAAACGGGCTTCTGCCTCCCTCTCCCCCCCACCCTCACTGTTATTCGGTTAGAGAGAGCGCAGTAATAATCCGCTGTAATCCCCCAAACCAGGGAAGGGGGCAGTTATGAGCCCGCGGAGTGCAAATGAGGGAATTAGCAGATTTAGTGTCATGTTTCGGTCTGGGAGTCGAGCCAAATCGCCGGGTACCTTAATCCCCGTGTGCCTTCCCTCTCCGGGCCGCCCGCAGCGCCAGCACACCCATCTGTGTCCATCTCTGGCTCAGTTCCTCCCTTCAAGCTGAGAAATGTCTCACTGATGTGAGCAGAATTCCTCCTGCTTATTCGCAGGCCAAATATCCCGAGGAGCATTACTGAAAAACCACTGGCAGCCACCAGTATCTCAGGTTAATTTATGCAGAGCTTTTCAGGCAATCCAACTGAACCAATGACATGAACAAAAACAGCATCTGTGGACTAATTCAAAAATAATGCTTGGTCGATATAAATTCAGATAAGGAGGTAAAATAACCACAATCTCACAGAAATATATTACTAAGAAATGCTAATGTGGTATTGTTAGCGTGCATGTCAATCAGCTTCACCAGAGAAGTAGCTAAGTTTGCTATTTTGGTTATTTGAGATGGTACTGTTTGACTCATTACGGCGGTAGTATCAGGGTAACAGGGGCATGGTCAGGGGTTAGCCACTGAGGCAATGGATGCAGTTGAAAGCTGATTGGACCCTGGACTGCCCCCTCTGCTGTCACTCACCAATTCAAAGCATATCATTGGTTAATGATAAGGTTGGTCCCTCTATATGAATTATGGGGCCTTTTAGGCATTCCACCTTCCTAGAATCCTAGAATTGCCTCTGGGTAATATTATCACAGTCAAGCAGTGTGACCAAAACAGGGACCAGTTTAGCTTTTACACTTAAGGACATTTAGTATTGTTGTCTGATGGTTGTTGGTTTTAAATTTACTTCAGAATTGATTCTGCAAGAAACGGAAGCCCCCAGGCGAGCAGGCACAGAGGGTGCAGGTGGGAATCTGGAATTATGTCCTGGTGTCTAAGCGCCAGGCTAGATTATAGGCAGTCTTTTAGAGTACAGGATCTGTTAATCTGACACCAGATTAAAGCAGGAGAATCAGTCTCTCAAACCCATTAATAGCCAAATAATCTATTTGTAAACTGACCCCCCCCCCAACCATGAAAAGAAATATCCAAGGAAAAGGATGGCCAGAGTCTTTATTAGTTAGGAAAACAGTCAAAACTGGGCTTGAATATCAAGAAGCCAGTTGCATAGATTGAATAATGAACAAGACGTGCATTCCAAGCTAGAGCATCACAGACAGT